TTTCCTACATTATACACGAAGTAGTACAATATTATCTGATAGCAGACTGCAATAAATAGTATTGTAAACCCTAGATCCGTCCCCACAAATTAGTAAGATATAACTAAGAACCCAAAATAGGAGCTAAATTGAGATCCAAAAAAAAAAAAAATCAATCTCTCTCTCTATATATGTATATATGTAATATATAGAGAGAGCAGAAAAACGGGAGGGGGGAAAAAAGGGAAAAATAGAAAATAAGTAGTAACATGATAGATTTAAACATAAACATAAAAATTACATTAAGGCAGAGATGGTCAGACTGGATTCAGAAAAAAAAAAAACAAGGCCCAACTATATGCTGAATATGAGAAATTCATTTTAAACATAAAGACACAGGTATATTAAAAGTAAAAGAATACAGGCCGGGCGTGGTGGCTCACACCTGTAATCCCAGCACTTTGGGAGCCCAAGGCAGGTGGATCACGAGGTTAAGAGATTGAGACGATGGTGAAACCCAGTCTCTACTAAAAAATACAAAAATTAGCTGGGCGTGGTGGCACACACCTGTGGTCCCAGCCACTCAGGAGGCTGAGGCAGGAGAATTGCTTGAACTCAGGAGGCAGAGGCTGCCGTGAGCCGAGGTCGCGCCACTGCACTCCAGCCTGGTGCCTGGTGACAGAGCAAGACTGTGTCTCAAAAGAAAAGAAAAGAAAAAGAACATAACAATGTTTATATCTAATATCAAAGCATTAATTTCCCAAAACAAAGAATACTATGAACATTCAAGAAGGACATATCATAATGTCAAAAAGTCAGTTAATCACTAAGACAGTAATTGTAAGCATGCAGGTACCCAATAACAGAGCTTAAAAATACAGGAAGCAGCCGGGCATGGTGGCTCATGCCTGTAATCCCAGCACTTTGGGAGGCTGAGGCGGGCAGATCACCTGAGGTCAGGAGTTAGAGACCAGCCTGTCCAACATGGCGAAATCCTGTCTCTACTAAAAATACAAAAAATTAGCCAGGCATGGTGGCAGGGTCCTGTAATCCCAGCTACTCTGGAGGCTGAGGCAGGAGAATCGCTAGAACCCAGGAGGCAGAGGTTGCGGTAAGCCGAGATCGAGCCACTGCACTCCTGCACTCCAGCCTGGGTGACAAGAGTGAAACTCAGTCTCAAAAGAAACAACAAAAAAACCCCAAAACCATGAAGCAGGCCAGGTGCCGTGGCTCATGTCTGTGATCCCAGTACTTCGTTGAGGTTGAGCCCAGGAGTTCTAGACTAGCCTGGGCTATGTGGCAAAACCCTGTCTCTACAGAAAAATATAAAAAAATTAGCCAGACATGGAGCATGCCTGTGGTCCCAGCTACTCAGGAGGTTGAGGAAGGTGGACTGATTAGTGCATGGGAGTCATCATTGTTCCACTGCACTCCAGCCTGGGTGACATAGTGAGACCATGTCTCAAACAAAAACATGAAGCAAAAGCTGTCATAACTTAAGAAAAAATAGACAAATTCAAAACTATAGTGGAAGACATAAAAATTCCTCTCTCAATAATTGGTAAGAACAAACTGAAAAATCACTAAGGATACAGAAGACCTAAATATTATAAACCAACTTGACTTAATTGACATTTTTTTGGGATGTAGCTAAAGTAGTGATTAGAATTACTTCTAAAACATTTATGCTCAATTGATTATATTTAAAAAAAGGTTCAAAATCAATGATCTTAGTTTCTACCTTAAGAAGCTAGAAAAAGAAAAAAAATCAATGAAATGGAAAAAGGAGACATGACTATGCTCCTACAAACATTAAAAGGATAAGGGAATATGATGAATAACTTTATTTCAATAAATTTGATACTTTAGATAAAATGGCCAAACTTCTTGGAAGACAAAGTATTAAAGTTGACTTCGGAAGAAATATTAAATCTGAAGAGTGCTGTATCTAAAGAAATTGAAGTTGTAATTAAAACTTTCCACAAAGAAAATTCCAGGCCCAGATGCTTCACTGGTGAATTCTATCAAACATTTAAAGAAGCATAATATTACAAAGGCAAACTCTTAGAAAACAGATGAGGGAACACTTCCAAAATTATTTTCTTAGGCCAACATTATCATGACAGTCAACTAGAGACACAGAAAACAAAGCAGCAAAACAATATCCCTTAAAAACACAGATGCATACACACAAAAGTCCTTAAAAAGAGATCAGCAAAGTGAATCCAACAACATAAAAAAGGCTTATACCTCATGAACAAGTGGGGCTTATACTGCAAAGGATTTAAAACTAAAAAAATTCACTGTAATATACCAATTAACAGAATAAAAGTGAAAAAACGTATGATAAACTCAATGGATGTAGGAAAAGCATTTCACAAAATCCAACATGCATTCCTCATAAAAACTCTCAGCAATCTAGGAAGAGAAGGGAACTGCCTAATCCCCTGATAATGGGTCACTATGAAAAACCTACAGCATATCTATATATACATATACATATACATGAAATGGTGAAAGACTGAATGGCTTTTGCTTAAGATTGTGAACAAGAAAGGGACATTCACTCTTACCAATTGTTTTTAACACTGTATTGGAGGTCTTAGCCAGGGCAATTAAAAAAAATATCGAAACAAACGGTACACAGATTGGGAAATAAGAAGTAAAAGTGTATTTCTGTATATTTGCAATAAACAATCAGAAATCAAGGTTTAAAAATAACTTTCCCAATAGCATTAAAAATTCAAAATACTTAGGGATAAATGTGACAAAAGATGTGCAAAACCTTTACACTGAAAACTATAACATGGCTGAGAAATTTAAAAAGACCTAAACAAATGGACAGATAAAGACTCAAAATTGTTCAGAAGTTACGATTTTCCAAACTGATCTAGAGTCAACACAAGTCCAACAAAAATCCCAGCAGATGGTTGGGTCTCAGGTTTATAATCCCAGAACTCTGGGAGTCTGAGGTAGGAGTACTATGTGAGGCCAGGAGTTTGAGACCAGTCTGGGCAACACAGTGAGACCCCATACCTATGTATTTATTAAAAAATTAAAAAAAAATCTAGCAGACTTTTTTTGGTTGAAATTGACAAATTGATTTTAAAATTCACATGAAAAATCAAAGGCCCAAGAAAAACTCTGAAAAAGACAAAGCTGAAGGACTCACACTACTTGACTTCAAGAGTTAGTAAAAAGCTGCAGTAATCAAAAGAAAATTATATTGGAATCAAGATAGACAAAGACAAATGGAACAGAACAGAGTCCAGAAGTAGACTCACATATACATGGTTGATTCATTTTTGACAAAGCGATAAAAGCATTTCTAAAGGATAGTCTTTTGAATAAATGGTGCTGGAACAACTGGATATTCATGTGTAAAAAAGCCCAACCCTTTTATCTGTATCTTGTACCACATGAACAGATGAACTCAAAATGAATCACAGACCAAAATATAAACTGAAAAACTATAAAACTTAGAGAAGAAAACACAAGGAAAAATCTTTGTAACTTTGGATTAGTCAAAGGTTTTTTTTTTTTTTGAGATACAATAACAAGTAATATATACCACAACAGAAAAAGTTAATACAGTGAACTTAAATTAAGAAGTTGGTTTCTGAAAGACACTTCTAAGAAAACAAAGAAATGAATTATGAATGGGGAGAAAATATTTGTGAATCACATCTGATAAAGCATTTGTAACTTAGACTAAATCAAAGAATCTCAAAACTCAATAACCACTCAATTAAAAAATGGGCAAAAGATTTTAACACACTTCACCAAAGGAGATATACACATGGCAAAGAGGCAGATGAATAGATGTGCAGCATTATTAATAATTAGAGACAGACAAATTAAAACCACAATGAGGATGACTAAATTAAGACTGTGCTCAGTACTGGCAAGAACGTGGAGTAACTGGAACTCTCATACACTGCTATAGCATAATGTAAAATGGTAAACCACTGTGAAAAAGAGTTTGGCGGTTTTTAAAAATTTTAAACATAAACTTAACATATGACCTAGTCATCTGCTTCTAGGTATTTAAATAAAAGCAAAAAGCATAAATTCATCCTAAGACTTTTATGAATTAATCCCAAGACGTTTCTATGTTTACAGAAACTTTGTTAATAATAGCCAAAAATGGGAAACAATTAGTGAATGGGTATTGTTACAATACAATAGAATACTACTTAGCAAATTTTCAAAAGAAATGAAATAATTGATGGGTGACTCTCAAAAAAAATTGTGCTTAGAGGCTGGGCGTGGTGGCTCATGCCTGTAATCCCAGCACTTTGGGAGGCTGAGGTGGGCAGATCACGAGGTCAAGAGATTGAGACCATCTTGGCCAACATAGTAAAACCCCATCTCTACTAAAAAAAAAACCCAAAAATTAGCTGGGCACGGTGGCATGTGCTTGCAGTCCCAGCTACTCGGGAGGCTGAGGCAGGAGAATTGCTTGAACCCAGAAGGCAGAGGTTGCAGTGAGCTGAGATCGTGCCACTGTATTCCAGCCTGGTGACAGAGTGAGACTCCCTCTCAAAAAAAAAAAAAAAAAAAGAAAAAAGAAAAAAAAGCAAATTGTGCTTAATGAAAAGCGACAGGCAAGAAAGCACATAATATATGATTCCATTTTTATACAACCCCAGAAAATGCAAACTAATCAATGTCGAAATAAACCAGATCTGTGGTTGCCTGGAGACTGGGGCAGGAGGGAGGTGGGATGGAATCTGATAGAAAAGGAAGGAGGGATTAACCAAGGGGCATGAGCATATATCTTCATTATTTATAGTTTCACTAGTATATATATATGTCAAAATTTATTAACTTGTACACTTTTTTTTGAGACAGGGTCTCACTCTGTTGCCCAGGCTGGAGTGCACTAACTCAAGCAATCCTCCTGCCTCAGCTTCCCAAGTAGCTGGGAGTACAGGTGCTCATTACCATACCTGGCTAATTTTTAATTTACTTTTTATAGAGATGAGGTCTCACTATGTGTTGCCCAGGCTGGTCTTTAACTCTTGAGCTCAAGCAATCCACCTGCCGTAGCCTCCCAAAGGGTTGAGACTACAGGCGTGAGCCATGATGTGAGCCTGGCCAAGTTGTACACTTTCAGTATGTCCATTATAATGTCAATTATACCTCAATAAATCTATTTTAATAAAAAACTCAATAAATAAAGTGGTAACAAAAGAGGATAAGCATTCACGAAAATCTTTTTTCAGTATTATTAGCTACAACAGAAAAGATTAATAATCTTCTCAGTATTGTTAGCTACAATAGAAAGACAAATTAAATCAACAATGATACATCACTACACACCCCCACAAATGGCTCTAGTTTAAAAAATACTGACAATAGCAAGTACTGGCAAGGATATAGAAAAATTGAACTCATATATTGTTGGTGAAAATATAAAATGCTTAAATTTAAAAAAAATTAATTAATAAACAGGGATGAGGTACTGCTATGTTGACCAGACTGGTCTCAATTTGCAAAATCCCATGCCACTCTAGGAAACAGCTTGGCGGTTTCTTTTAAATTTAAGCATACACTTTCATAAAATCCAGAAATCACACTTCTATATTACCCAAGAGAAATGAAAACAGTATGAACATAGAAAAGCCTGTATGGAAATGTTTTCAGTGGCTTTACTAAGAATCAGCAAAAACCGGAAACATTCCAAATATCTTTAAACCGAATGAATAAACAAACTGGCTCATTCACATAATGGAATACTACTCAGCAATAAAAAGCAACAAAGTATACATACAATCACATGGATGAATCTCAAAGCCAAACACAAAAGGCTACATACTCCATGATTTATCAGATGTTCATAATAAAACAAACTATAGGGATAAAAATCAGATGAACAGTTGATAACAGTTGCTAGTGGGTAGGGGGAGTAAACTGACATGAAGGGGCGTAGAGAACTCCTGAGGATGATGAAAATGTGTATGTTGATGTGATGGTTACACAACTGCAAAATTAACAGAAAAATGTCTTAAAAAGAGTGAATTTTGCTGCATGGAAATTATGCCTCAAAAACCAGACTTAGATTAATTATAAACCAATGAAAATACACATTTTAGACCTGGCACAGGGAGGCAGAGGCAGAAGGGTCACTTGAGTTCAGCAGTTTGAGGCTACAGTGAGCTATGTTAATAGTCACTGCACTCCAGCCTGGGCAACTGTGCCCTGTCCCTTGTTGTATTTAAAACACAGTCATTTTTTTAAGAGACAGGGTCTCTTAAAAAGAAAAGGTATACATTTTAAAAGACATGCGTGAAACATGCAGGTAAAGCATGTTTGGTATGGTAACAATGTGCTTTAAATACCACAAAGGGCAGGGCACAGTGGCTCTCACTTGTAATCCCAGCACTTTGGGAGGCTAAGGCAGGAGGATCACTTGAGGCCAGGAGTTTAAGACCAGCCTGGGCAACACAATGAAACCCTGTCTCCACGAAACATTAATAAGGTGTTGTGGCTCAAGCCTGTAACGCCAGCTACACTGGAGGGCTAAGGCAGGAATACTGCTTCAGTCCTGGAGTTGGAGTTGCAATGAGCTATGATTGTGCCACTTCACTACAGCCTGGATGACAGAGGAAGACCCTGTCTTATAGATACACACATAAATCCAACAAGGAAGACAACAAATGCAACCTCTTTCTCTTCTCCAGAGCAAATAATGCCAAGTACTGACAGTCAGGATATAGAACACTGGGCTTCATATGCCTGCTCTCATCTTTTCTCTGAGTTGTACAAAAGATTCTGTCCACCCTGTTGCTCAACTAATTTTCTAATGGAAGCAGCATTTATCAATCTGTGCCCTTGGCTAACAACATGATAAACAATTTGGTGCTTCTGAAGGTGATATTCCTCCTTTTGAATCACTTTTTGCCCCAGACATCAAAAAGGGGTATGTAGGGAAAAAAAAAGATGGGTTCAAGTTGCTGGAGGCACTAGCTCTTGAATAGGCTGGAGAACTAAGGGGCTGACCATGGGGGTTCATGCAGATTCCCAGGGCACTTTTTCTGAGGTGGAGTTTCGCTCTTGTTGCCCAGGCTGGAGGGCAATGGCATGATCTGGCTCACTGCAATCTCTGCCTCCCGCGTTCAAATGATTCTCCTGCCTCAGCCACCCGAGTAGCTGGGATTATAGGTGCCTGCCACCACACTTGGCTAATTTTAGTAGAGATGGGGTTTCACCAGGTTGGTTAGGCTGGTCTTGAAACTCTGGACCTCAGGTGATCCATCCACCTCGACTTCCCCAAAGTGCTGGGATAACAGATGTTAGCCACCGCACCCGGCCCCCAGGGCACTTTTTGAAGGCACAGGTGTACAGGTCCTCAGATTTTGGACAGGTTCCAATTTGAACAATTATATTCTCACTCCCTTAGTACCCCCTGCTGTTTCTGGTGGACACAGAATTCTTACTCACTTCCTGCACTAAACTGTCGTGTAGAGTTGCTGTGCAGCTGTTAAACAGCTGCCACATTTCTGTCCATATACAGTCTCTAAAGCATTTTTGGATGAAAGGTTATATAAACAGATTTTATTGTATGTTTGTTGCCTTACCACTTAGTTGTAGGTTTTGTGATGTTGTAACTATTAAATCCAAATCCATATTCCACAGCACATCAACGTTTAATTTCTTCCCCCACCTGCTCTCCAATGCTCTCTAAATAACAAGGCTCTTACCACGAGGGTCCGTAGACAGAGTGTCCCTGCAGGAGCACGGGGGTCCAAAGCAGCAACAAGATCCCACACTTTAATTTTTCTAAAGATCAAAAAGGGGACAAAAATGTTAGTTAAAAGCAAAAGTAAGGGAACACAGGAAGAATAGCAAAAATTCATGGTAATAACTATGGATGGTGAATATAGTTTAAATGTATGTGATTAACCTAAAAATGAGAAACAGGCTAGCTTTAACCAAACTGAAGACAGTTAATGGTGAAGTTATACCATACTTTGGGATCAAGAGGAGATCTTGTACATTAGATCTCTTAATGATAAGATATTACACAGACCTAGAAATCTACAACTCTGAGGCATCCTCTTCCTGGTCACTTCTAAGAGTAGCTCAGGTCACATATACTGAGGGACTGGGGTCCATGTAAGAGTACTGGAGTTTATACAGGCAAGCCCTCATGTTTTGATTTAAATAAGGTAAGTGTAGCTCTTTGAAAAATCTTTTATAGCCACGTTTCCTCAAGGTACATAACAGACAAATTCCAAGAAAGGTGGATACAGACCAAAGCCAGGGCAATGAGAAAACAGAGTCTTGACTGAGCCGGAACATGTCACCACACTCTGAACAGTTTCCCAAGGTTATAACAGTGATGGCTGACTCAAAGCAGAAGTGAGGAGTCTACACTTCCTGCTGTTTGCGTTGGCTAATGAATTATCAGTACAGTAAGCTCATGAAGTAAAATAATGTGTTAGCTTCTGAGATGTAAAAAGCTGCCAATATTTGAACTGTAGCCTTCTACCCTTCACCCTCAAAATCAAACACTTTGACAAAAAGAAATGATAAAGAGTCCTTCAAAAGTAAATACACTTTTTTTTTTTTTTTTTTTGAAACAGAGCCTTGCTCTGTTGCCCAGGCTAGAGTACAGTGGCATGATCTTGGCTCACTGCAACCTCTGCCTCCCTGAATCAAGCAATTCTCCTGCCTCAGCCTCCCGAGTAGCTGGGATTACAGGCACCCGCAATCACGCCTGGCTAATTTTTGTATTTTTAGTAGAGACTGGGTTTTGCCATATTGGCCAGGCTGGTCTCAAACTCCTGATCTCAAGTGATCCACCCATCCTGGCTTCCCAAAGTGCTGGGATTACAGGCATGAGCCACTGTGCCCAGCTTACTTTTGTTTGAATTTACTGTGTTTACGATTGGTGGACATGGGGTCCATTCACAACATGAATGGATTCCATAACCACTAGAAATTAGAAGAAAATAAAGATGACTCAACTCATTATAAATGAAATGCTAGGATGACAAGTGATGAAAAGAGAACTGTATTCTTAAAAATTACTCAAAGAGATAAAAAATCAAAGAAATCAAAATTCAAGATCCTTCCACCCCAAATCCCCAAATTCTGCCCTCTAGTGTTTCTGTTTTGTTAACAGGTTACCAATTTACTTGTGTATCCTGTTAACACTGGGCTTCTCTTGTTCTTTGCTTTACAGGGCAAAACAGCCAAAAACATAACCAAATAACAAAATATTAATGACAACCTTGTGCAAACAAGTATAATACAATGATTGGAAAGAATATTTCAGGACACTAAATCAAGGAGAGGTGAATATACAGATTTAAAAAAATATGGTATCAGATACTTTGTGTAAAATCTATAAGCTTTTAGAAACAAGGAACGGTTATGTTTAACACCATAAACATAAGAAAGGATTAAGAAGTAGATTTTCTTTTTTTTACACTCTGTTAGCACACTCACCCATCATAGGCCCCACTGACTATCCTCTTGTTATCGAATCGAATACAACGCACTAATTCCTCATGGCCTTCTAACACTCGTAAACATGCACCACATTCTATGTCCCATAATCTGGAAGAGAAAATTGAGTCAAGTGAATTTTCACATATTCTTTTCTAAGTCTGGAGTGTTATAATACACTTCATATGCCTTCTAAAAACTCACAAAATAAAATCAATCACCACCCACACAGAATGTACCATTTTCAATGTAATTTATTTCCTTTCTGCTATATAACTCACGCAGAAAAATGTAGGTTTAAATTCAAATATAATATGTATTTTCAAAGTATAATGCTTTATATAATTCTGTAACCAGGTTCTTCCAGGCATAAAAATGATGAATTCAAGGCACACAGTTGCCTTAGAAGAAATGACCAAACTAAGAAAGTAGTTTCCTGAAGTCACCATACCGAATGAGATACAGATTATCAGTGATGTCCTGTTCTCACAAAGCACCTCCCCCTCTGCCACAGTGGACACTTCTTTCACCACTGTCCAGGACAGTTTTTTCTCAGAGAATGGAAATGCAAAGTCAGTTCTCAAAAACTTTTGTGTACTAATTTTAAAAACCGTATGTTCTGAAATTATTTTTCAGAACAATTCAAGTGATTTCTAGGAATAATTTCCTTAGATATAACAGTAGCTCTATCTGTTGTTTTTTTTAGTGGCCTTTTCATCCTTTTAGTACTTCACTGAAGAGAGAAGATGGATAGATCTTTCAAATTCTAATAATGTCTATGTCATTCATCTTTGTGAAGAGAAAACCCAAAAACGACTTCCAACTGTGAAATCTTCATAATTTCAAGGACAGGTAACTCTCTGGCCAATTATGTAATGCTAAGACCAAAATTAAATAATTTCTAGAAAGGAAACAAATCTTTGTTTTCACTTCTTAAAAACAATGGCAAAGAGAAAACTTAATAGCATTTTACAACTGTAGACAGGAGAAATTTAAAAAGAAGGGCAATGACGGGGCATGATGGCTCACACCAGCACTTTAGGAGGCTGAGGCCAGTAGATTACGAGGTCAGGAGTTTGAGACCAGCCTGACCAACATGGTGAAATCCTGTCTCTACTAAAAATACAAAAATTAGCCGGGTGTGGTGGCACATGCCTGTAATCCCAGCTACTCAGGAGGCTGAGGCAGTAGAATCACTTGAACCTGGGAGGCAAAGGTTGCAGTGTGCCAAGATCACACCACAGCACTCTAGCCTGGGCAACAGAGCAAGACTCCATTTCAAAAAAAAAAAAAAGATGGGCAACAAAAGGCTTTGTTGTGCTGCCTCTCTGCTTCTGACCTGTAAGAAGCTACAAAAAGGAAAAACAGTTGATTATAAACATAACAAATCTGAAGACTTGTATGATCTGTGCACTAATAATGAATGGGAGCATAATATTGATCCTTCATGATAAAAGGCACTTGCCGCTTACCTAATAGTATTGTCAGATGAGCCACTCACTACCAGCCTGTCCCTGTACTGCAAACAGGCAATGCCTCGTTTGTGTCCATTTAAGGTCCTTACAAATTCACAAGTACTTGTATTCCATACCTGAAAAAGAAAATGGCATTGTGCAATTGATTTAGTGCTTTTACTGGTAAAATCTATGGCAACCGGAGTCTTAGGGAAGCAGAAAACAAGACTGAACCATTAAAGGGAAGTCAAATTCTCAAACAGAGCAAAAGACAATTTAAATTCATGGTAATAGAGGCTAATTTGCAGTTGGCTGTTATCGAGAGAATTCCTCAAACTGATTTACTCTTCTAGGATTAGTCTGATCTTACAGATACATTTTTCTTGACCCTAAATTTGCCCCTGCCCTTCTCACACTCACCATTATTTAAAGGAATAAAATACCTAGCCCATATTGTCACACAACATCTCATTTATTACCTTTTCACTTGTAGACTAGTCTCTGAAATAAATACTACATATTTCTTCAGTGATGTTTAAATATGACATTGCCCTTGATCAAATTTTCATATGAATTTCCCTATTCTAAGTTGGAGACTTACTGAAAAATACCTGATTACCTTTATAGTTCTATCCCCAGATGCAGAAACGATGTACTTGTCATCAAAGTCTACAACATTGACAGCAGCTCGGTGTCCAACCAGCACCCTCCGGAGGGTAATGTCAGTTGGGGAGGCCATATCCCATACAGCAATGGAACGATCTTTGGAGCAGGTCACCATCATGCCATTATTGAAACGCAAGTGCAGAACTGCTTCACAATGGTGAATCAGTGTGTTTAGCATTTCACCTGTATTTACATCCCACACTCTGGAAGTGACACATGAGACTTAGAAGGTACTCAAGCTACAATCTGTTATCTATATTTGACCATCATATGCCCTGCCACCCCTCATATTTTCATCGGAAGTGTTATAATTCTACTCTTTAATTCTTTTGCAGCACTGAGCTGAGGTAAATACTGATGGATCATGGGAAAGTGGTAGAGAGAAGCCCAGACTGGGAGAGTGGGAGAAGGAAGGGGATGGGATGTTGCCAGTGTGTCCTTTAGACACACTGCTTGAAATATGGGCAAGTTGTGGAGGGCAAGGATGAGGTGGCAGCCACTGTCACCTAATAATTTGGCCCAGACTTGAAGATTATTATAAAACTTCTGACATTCAATTTGATACCATTAGTAAGATACATTTTAAATGGGGAATCTGATTAATAACAGTAGCATTAGTGCCCATCCCAATAATAGCCCTCAGGAGGCAGAAATGACATAGGCCAAGATGCTTCTGTCACATACTTAGTAATGTACATTTGAGTTTGATTACCCTGGATCTCAGGTTTTACCATAGAGGTCAAAGGCCAAGATAACCACAACTCTTAATTCTAAGCCCTCATTTCTGTGCGTTGAAGTGAGTAGGAGTTTAAAATAGCCCTCTCATTGTAAATACAGGCTTCACAGAAGAGTGTGGGGCCCTTGATAGCTTGGGAATTTTGTGTGATGATATATTTGATTATTCTATTTTTGTGTATTTACTTTGGGTTTTATAACATGTTATTTCCTTTTTCCAGTTTAGCCCCCTTTTATAGAATATCATTTTTTCTTTATCTTATAAATGATGTTAGCATCTACAGCGTTTCAGATTCAATGAGGCACTTGCTCCACAAGCACCAATAAATGTTAAATGTCAATAATTACAAGAACCGAGTTCGCTGTGCCTTTAAGTCAAAAGACAAAAACCACGAACAGTTTTTTCTATTCACAGAGGATAACTTGGAATGGTAAACATTTAACTTCAGAGTATCTAACAATGCAGTTAACTGCTTTTTTTCCTAGGTTTATTTTTTTTTTTTTTTAAGTTACTTTTGATGCATTATGTTTGCTAAATCCTTCAGCTTAAGGCAAAATTCCTAACAGAAGTTCCCAACAGTGCTGCTGGTACCCAGAACTCAAGCTATCCTGGACTCCAGCAGTATAATGGCTGTGTCATCAAATCACTAACGCCTCTGGAAATTGAGGGCCCCTCCTTGAGTGAAGTTTGCAATTAAAAACTGCAGGGACAGCAGGGGAGGGGCTGACAAAGAGAGCACAGCTCACCTGTACATGTTTCAAAGGAGATAATACAGACCTGCACTACAGTTACAACCACCTAAAAGGAAGGCTTCATTACATTCATGTCATTTCCCTGTGAGGTGGTTTTTATAATGCAAGGTTTACCATAAGGATAAGAAAAGTTTCTGTAATAGACGATTCTCCAAATTAAAATAGACTGTGTAGTTTCTTAAATGTGCAAAAACGTAAACTTACCTCAAGCATTCCTAAATCAAGTTTTCTAGTTCTAGACTGACACAAATGATGGGGACTCGGTGGTATATTCTTCTTTAGTTTCAGAACTGTGCCGATATATACAAAATTACTATCTATGACAAAGAACAGAGCAGAGCTGATGTTTCAGAGTTCAAAAGAGCATCTGAAATTTTCTACCTGACTGTGGAATCCGATGATCCGGTTATGATCACTCTCTCATCATACTGGAGACACAGGACAGAACCTGTATGGCCTGTGAGAATTCGCTTGCATTCCAATGTGTTTTTATCCCAGATCTAGGATGGCAAATAAGATTCTTTTGATCAATGTGATGGTGGGGTGCTGTGGAGACTTGTTGGTCCTATTATGTATTTGATCTCCCAAAATAATCAAAGCCCAGAGTAATGTGGAATGCATTCTTTCCTATAGGTATAGCTAAGAGCGCGCACACACACACACACACACACACACACACACACACACACGGCTTCAGTACTAATACAAACCTTTATCCTTTTCATTAGAGAACAGGGTATTATGTGAGGTCCAAAAGAGTAATAGCCCATTCAGTTCATTTCAAGAAGAGAATTTAACCCTAGAGACTACCCATTTGTATAGTATTCTGATGGGAAACAGATGTCTTTCCTTTAAGGAAATGATTTTGGCTTTGGGACTGGAAACAATCTAAAATCTTCACTTACTTTCTAGGAATAATGCTTAGAGTTTATGCTGTGGACTGCGTTATGAATGTGGTCACCCTTGCTCCCTCAGCTACCTTCCTACAACTGAACAGACCTCACCTTGATTGTGTTGTCTCGAAGGCCGCTTACTATTTTCTGATCATCATACTGTAAACAGTAAACTCCTTTGCTTGTTTCACTTCGGCAGTGGATTCTCTGTAAACTATGTCTTCCACATCTCCAATTAGATTCTATTGTCTGAGAAGACAGAAAGGTAAAGAGGTAGTAATTAGGAAACACCTAAAACCAAACCCTTTTTGGGCTTTAACGGCAATCAATGACTTAATGCTTTACTCTGTGGGAGATACACAGCTTGGGGAAAACTAAAAAATATCTATAAAAAAAGCTACCATCTAAATTTATAAAATATTTTTCCTTTTGAAAGGTAATTAAAGATTTTTTCTGTTCAATTAAATAATCTGGTGGGAAGAGACAACTCATCAAGAGAAGAAAAGCTACGAACTATGTGAGGTTATATGTTCAGTGCTCTTACATATGTGATGGCCATCGCTACCAATGAACTTCTATGGACGTTGAATTCAGAAGATATTTAACTATGAGCTTACGGGTACAAATTTACCAGTCACACTGCTATTATATGAAGGGATCAATCTCTTTAACTCTTTTTCATCTATTTATCTATTAGTAAACAATTTTGCCTAGCAATTTATTTTACCTACCCTACTTACCTATAAAGAGATTGATTTTCTTTTTCTTTCTGTTTTTTTTTTTTTTGAGACAAAGTCTCACTCTGTCGTTCAAGCTGGAGTGCAGTGGCACGATCTTGGCTCACTGCAACATCTGCCACCCAGGTTCAAGCAATTCTTCTACCTCAGCCTCCTGAGTAGCTGGGGTTACAGATGTGTGCCACCATGCCTGGCTAGTTTTTGTATTTTTAGTAGAGATGGCGTCTCATCACGTTAGTCTGGCTGGTCTCGAACTCCTGACTTTAGGTGATCCACCTGCCTTGGCCTCCCAAAGTGCTGGGATTACAGGTGTGAGCCACCACGCCAGCCTAGAGATTGATTTTCAACTCAAGTCGATAAGCCTTAATGGGCTTGGTGTAACCATACTGCGACTGAAGAAAGCTGTACCATTTGGAAAATACCCCAAAATACGTAGATTCTTACCTCAATGTCTTGTATAATTTTAGGATAAAGTGCTCTATAAAAAGAGTTGGGAGGAGCATTTCCATCAGGAGGTTTGTTTTTGAATAAATACTGTCCCCTAAAAAAACACAAATATTTCCCAATGAAAACCATGACATTAAATATTTATCTATTTATTTATTTTTTGAGACAGAGTCTTGCTCTGTTGCCCAGGCTGCAGTGCAGCAGTGTGATGTTGACTCACTGCAACCTCCGCCTCCAGGGTTCAAGCAATTCTCCTGCCTCAGCCTCCTGGTAGCTGCGATTACAGGCATTTACTACCACGCCCAGCTAATTTTTGTATTTCAGTAGAAACGGGGTTTCACAATGCTGGTCAGGCTGGTCTCAAACTCCAGGCCTCAAATGATCTGCCCGCATGGCCTCCCAAAGTGCTGGGATTACAGGCATGAGCTACCGTGCCCAGCCAACATATCTGTAAGGAACTTCATATATTTTCAAAGTGTTTTCACAGTTACCATTCTATATACTCTCCAAAGCTGCCTGGGGAGGTGCAAAAGTAATCTTGATTTCAGCCTTCTGGTCTCTAAGGAATCTGCCTAACATTGATTTGCTTTTGGGTAAAACATTATTTCCAGTGTAGAACATTGGAGTACCAAACTTTTAGAATATTATGAGTAGACAAATGGAATATGTATAATCAGAATTCATCTACTGGTCTATTAAGACTACTGTATAGATTCGCTGGCCTCATCTTTTGGAAATTTTTTTAGTAATGGTAACTATAACCTTTGCAATAGCACATACCCCACAGTCTTTTTTTTTTTTTTTTTTTTTTTAACTATGTTGGTAGACCCCTGCATTGTAGACAACAGCAATGCCTGTGATGGAGATCACTTTTTCTAGGTCTTTATTTGTGTGGGGTAAGATGTGGTGGCTGCTCAGTCACCCAGGCTGCTGCTGATCTGTGCAACTATTCTTTGAAATGGGCAATTCAGTTCATTTCAACAGACAATAAAAGGATCACAGGTGTGTCCAGCGGCAGCTAGGGAAGAAGATAAATAGAAATGCCTAAGAGCACTGTGCTATCAAGTCTAAGGCATGAAACAGACTTTCACAGGTGTGTTCCTGGCGATGCACACACATACATGTACTTAACTGCCTTCCCTGATTCCAGTGAGCGGCATTTGTTAGTATCTCCTTCCTTATGACAGCCCATCTCTGGAATACTCATATCCCAAGCTAGATCTTTGCTACAAAAAAAAAAAACCCAGTAAATGGCAATCACTTCCTGCTGGGTAAAAAATTTAATTCCTCATCCTGAAGTTAAGAACCCACCAAACACGGTGTGGAAGCTAGTAAACCCCACTATGGGTGTACTAACTGCTGTTCCCACTGGCACTGTGCCTTGCAAAGTGGAAATAGGCAGAAATGCCTCTGAGTGTACTCCTGGCACCAGAGAAATCACGTTTTCTCAGGGCCAGTCATCCACTCCTCCCTCTATAGCTCCATTACAATGTAATTAATTGTTTGGTGTCTCCAGGAGTGCTTCTCCTCTGCCCTCTCCCTATTATACGCCTTGAAAATTAGTTGAGAAAATTTCCTATCAGGAAGGTAGCTGGATCTAACTTCTATGCTAATACAGAAAAGAAAATCTGTAATAGAGAAGAGAAAATACTACTAATAAAAAGGGGGATTAATGAAACATGATACACCAGCATAAACCAAAGGTCAAACAAGATGTATTATGAAAGAATTCTGGATTAATGGTACATTACTCTGTACAATATTATTCTATAAACACTTTGCAGGCAAATAATAGATTTTGAATGTGAAGATTTTAAGTCTGACTCCGGAGTCCACATTCTTAACTACTTTAATGTATCTCAATACCCACCATTCCTGAGATTCCTGTCTTCTTTTAATCTCTAGCACTCCAAGAGTTTCTTCCTATCCAATGATACTATCTCTATATTCTAAGGAAAGAGAACCCATGTAAGCTTCTGATTTTGTTTTCCACCTCACTGCATTTATCATGTCTTGGTAAGGTATCTGAATTTCTTCAAATCAAAGTGCTACAGAAACGGGTGGCTAGGTATTGAAAACTGGCTTCTGTCTTTATGTTTTAAGTCAAAACCTTTTATGATGGAAGATCTTTGACAACAGGGACTGCTACTATGTGAAATGCCTTGTACCTATGAGAATATAAGTACATGATAAATATTAAATATTAAATTCAGAATGTTATCATAAAATGTGATCTGCTGATTAAAGAAATGGACTTTTCCCAAGTGGTCTTTTATTGTACTTTTAAGAGTTACCATTACTGAGCAGAGATAACATTCAGTGTTATCGAAGAGAGAAAACTACAGAGTTCATGTCCCAGGGGAAGACTGTCAAATCCAAAATACAACATCAAAGACCAAATGAAAACTTAAAGATACAAAGCTTTATTAGAAAGCTGTATTTACTTGCTATTTTGGGTTAGTAGAAATGGAAGAACCTTTCTTTTTTTTCTTTTATTTATTTTTTTTAGAGACAGGGGCCTCACTATGTTGCCCAGGCTGGAGCAGTGGCTATTCACAGGTGCGATCCCACTACTGATCAGCATGGAAGTTTTGACCTGCTCTGTTTCTGACCTGGGCCGGTTCACCCCTCCTTATGTGACCTGGTGGCCCCCTTGCCCCCGAGAGGTCACCATATTGATGCTGAACTTATTACAGACACCCGATGGGCATAGCACACTACAGCCCAGAACTCCTAGGCTCAAGCGGGGCGTTGGGACTTCTCATGCCTGTAGTCCCACCTCAGCCTCCCGAGTAGCTGGGACTACAGGCAAGTGCCACTGAGCCCGGTGGAAGAATCTTTAAAAGCTAGCATATGGCGAAAGGGATAACATGGAAAAATTTTTTTGACGTATCAGGCTTCGTAAATCACTCGAAAGAAGAAAATGAGAAACTGATGGAGTAAATTTTTTTTTTTTTGAGATGGAGTCTTGCTTTGTCACAAGGCTGGAATGCAGTGGCGCAATCTTGGCTCACTGCAACCTCCAACTCCGGGTTCAAATGATTCTCCTGCTTCAGCCTCCTAAGTAGCTGGGATTACAGGCACACACCACCATGCCCAGCTAATGTTTGCATTTTTAGTAGAGACAGGGTTTCACCATGTTGGCCAGGATGGTCTTGATCTCCTGACCTCATGATCCACCCACCTCAACCTTCCAAAGCGCTGGGATTACAAGTGTGAGCCACTGTGCCCAGCCGGAGTCAATTTTTTTTTTTTTTAAAGGGAGGACAACCGACACAGGAATAAAGGCAACATGTAAAAATAGAAGCAGCAAGAAAGTCGAAGGAATACTGGAGGAGGTCAACATGGGGTGGATTATTTGCAATTTCATGGGTAATATCATGGGATTAAGAGGATACACGTGCCCAAAGACAAGGGGATATAGTCAGAACTCTGAAAAATACTCAAAGAGCAGGAATGGGTTTCTGTGGATGAAGAGATAGTGGGAAAATGTGTTACTTAGTGCTGGATCCTATATTCTTCACCTACCCTTTAAAATGGCTCAAAAGTCATCTTCTCAATGATCATTTTTAATTTGTAACTAACATAGCAGATCTTACCATTTAGTGCCAATCCCAAGCAAAACTGTGGAGCCTACTTTTACCTTTGGCATTTTCACATCCATCTGTCAAGAAAATGCCCACTTACTTCTTGATCTCTCTGCTTTCAAAAAAGGACGTAGTAAACTCCCAATGTCTGATGAAGGCTTACTGTCATTTACAGTCCAAATGAGAACACAATGTATTTTAACAGGGAACAGAACCTTTATAGCTCTCCTTAATTGAAATTTCAGGAGTTATTTGGAAAAGATTCTTTTTTTTTCCTGAGGATAGAAAAATCTTCTCAGCTGCCCTAAAATTTTCCCATGTAAACAATTATCTACTGTATTCCCAAGGCTGGTCCCAGTACTCTTAGCAAAATGATGGACCCTGAATGCCATATAACTCTATTTTTATTAGCTTTGTTGTACTATTATAGAGTTTATTTTTAACGTATGAAGTAGGTTATGAAAGGTAAGATTTCTATTTTTTCTATGTAGTGAAATAAGTGAGAATTTAAAAAGTCGTAATATTCTTGTGTGTGTGTGTGTGTGTGTGTGTGTGTGTATGTGAGAGAGAGAAAGAGGGAGAGAGACAGAGAGACAGACAGACAGACAGAGGGTCTTGCTCTGTTGCCTAGGCTGGAGTACAGTGGCATGATGATAGCTCACTGCAGCCTCAACTTCCCAGGCTCAAGCCATCTTCCCACCTCAGCCTCCTGAGTAGTGGGATTGCAGGCACCCACCATCACGCCCAGCTAATTTTTTGATTTTTATTTTTTTTGTAGACATGAGGTCTCACTATGTTGCCCAGACTGGTCTCAAACTCCTAGGTTCAAGCGATCCTCTTGCCTTGGCCTCCCAAAGTGTTGGGATTACAGGAGTGAGCCACCTGGCCAACAATATTCTTTTACTATGTAATTGTTACATAGCCTAAAATTTGTCTAGTTTTTTGTTCCCTTAAATCAATTTGAGACAAAAATTTAAACAGTCTTCCTAACAGCCAGAATGATAAAAATCTCTGAAGCATTTGGTATATATTTATAGGTCATTGTATTTATTATGTGTTAATAAGTTTCAAAGACAGAAAAAAAAAAGAGCCAACTATATTTTCATGAAAATTCTAAGGAAAGCTGATTTATGAAAATTAATCTTTTAAAAGTGTTCTCTATACTTGTTTTCCTCTTTATGAGGCAAGATAAACAACTGATAAAATTAATGTGGAAGGACACTATGAAGCACACACATGCCTATTATTTTTTCTGTCAACTGAAATATTTAATATGTCACCTTTATGAGCGACTACTCTGAGAGAAAATTATTTAAAGAAAGACATCTTCCAGAAGTTCTAATGAAATGGTGCTATTAAGAGAATAACCAAAAATTGGTGAAGTCTCTTAGGCTGCTAACTATATGATGCTTCAGGGAATTCTAAATTAAACCAGAAAATCTTGAAAAACAGAAGTCTTAAGAAGAAACAATGATTTATACTGCATTTCATTTTTACTTTTTCTGATAGCTAAAGTTCTTATTCTACTTGGGCATAAAAATAATTTTTGATTACAAGGGTGACAAAACACCAGAGGCATAAGATAAAGGCAAGAAATTTTCTGAAAGAAAAGAAAATCATTTGTCCTAGATTATTTTAGGGGAAAGTTAGACTGGATGGTTTCTATGTGATTCAAAGTCATCTACTTGCCTCATAAATTGCCCATCAGCCCTTTTGCAGGATATCAACTTCTTTCTTTCTTTCTTTTTGAGACAAAGACATGCTCTGTAGCCCAGGCTGGAGTGTAATGGCTAGATCTCTGCTCATTGCAACATCCACTTCCTGGGTTCATGCGATTCTCCTGACTCAGCCTCCCAGAGTAGATGGGATTACAGGTGCATACCACCACACCCGGCTAACTTTTGTATTTTTAGTAGAGACGGGGTTTTGCCATGCTGGCCAGGCTGGTCTCAAACTCCTGGCCTCAAGTGATCTGCCCACCTGGGCCTCCCAAAGTGCTGGGATTACAGGCATGAACCACTGCGCCCAGCCACAGGATACCAACTTCTGTACAGAGAATGCTTTAAACAGGAGGCCTGGTCAGCTTTCCATTATTTTTTGCAAAGCAGTATTAATACAATATCATGTCATTTTTTGAGTGATAGGTAAGAAGAAAAACTGCTGAGTACATGAACAATTGTTCTTTGTTACATTTCAAGCTACAAATCAGCAAAATCACCATATTAAATGAGAAATGGTCTCACTGGCTCCCAAAAAATCTTTCAGTGACTGTGAATGGCCAGGTCCGGAGGCCCTGTAATAGTAAGAAAGTTAAAGACTCACCACCCTCTTCGTTCTGCCAGGCCTCTCCACAAAGAATCTGTCCTGACCATTCTCTCGATGAGCTTCTTCCATAACATGCCATCAGAGGTCACTCGGTACCATTCCTTGCACACAAGTTCAGCAGCACATAGTGATTTGGCATCCAGGTATGACAGAATGTTCTCAGCAATATGATCCAAACCCCGGGCTTTCAGTAGGGGGAAGAGGCAAAGAAGAAGAACACAGAGGGTGGTGAATGATTTTTTACAAAAGGTCCTTTAAAACAGAACAGCATTTGTTCTGCTATGAAGGCACATCATTGTCCCTAGCGTGGTCCAGTTTCTTTTTCAAACAGAGGCTTGGGTAAAATGAGTGTCAATAATTTTTCCATAAGGTTACAGAAATGAACGGTATTTTCCATCTTCCTTTAGATAAGGAAGTTAAAGCTAACAACCAGCAAACCCCCCCCAAGACATTAAAAATAAAAAGGATTCCAGAAAACAATTCACATCTATCTATATGGATTTCAGCACTAGGGGATGTTCTATGGATGGCATCTCAAACTCTATGATTCAGACCCCCCCCAAATCTCTATATTAGGTCCATTTCTCATTCTGTTTCTATTACTGCTGCCGTTCTAAAGCTGTTCGGTAGAAGAAATATCCTTTAAATGTACTGGGGGAGAGACACTAAGTCAGAATGTGCTGGGTTATGGAATTTTGGGCATGCAGAATGGAGAGAAGAAGGAAACAGAATGGTATGGAAATATCCCAAGAGAAAGACAGAAAGGTATGTTTAAGTTCAAGAATGAGTTTAATTTTAGATGTTAAAAAAACTATATTTGAGGGTAGCTGCTGCTATAAAATCTAAATGACAGCTGAGCTGCGCAAAAAATGAAAAAAATTCCAGACCAAAAGATAACTTGGTTATCATTTAAGAGAATACTTGTAGGATGTGCAGAGGAAAACAGTGGAGAATAGATCTTGAGGGGTGTAAACCAGGTGGGCTTCCCAATTAAAGTTCTTTACCACCCAAATCTGTACCTAGGTCTTAGAAGAAAAGATCCTATAAAATAAGATGATCTCACTAAAAAAACTTCTTTTGCCTGCTGTTCTAAATTTACAACTGAGACAAAAACATTCAAAGTCATTTCTGTTTACAACATACATATCAGAGGTTTTCTACAGACTTAAATAGTTCAGAAGGATTCCTTCATACTCTCACTCCCGTAGGCACAAACTTAACAGGAAAGAGAACATTGCATTTCATTTTGTGCCTTTCCCCTGAATCATACAGAGGCACACTTGGACGCCATTAGCAATAAGCCAAATGTGCTTAAGTATCATTTTAATTATAAAGATTGTATGGATATCAGTGACACTTTTCAGCAGACGTGAGAAAGAAAGTATTAAATGGATCTTGTTTGGCTGGCATCACATGTTGGTATTTAAGCATAAGCAGATGGAGACATGTATTACCCAATTCTTATTAAAGGAACGTGAACAAAAGCCAATTAAAGATATAATAATTAGTTTGTCATGTAAAATACAGTAATGGCACAATTCCTGGATCTTTATATTAAAACTTTATACACCATCAGAAATTTCCAAAATGCAGTCCTGTGTTTTTAATGGCTGCCATCAAATTGCTCCTGATCATTCACCATGTACCTATAATAAGTCTTCAGAAGAAATTTCACCTAACACTCCAAACAAACCCATTACATTAATGGACTACAGGCACTTTTTGAAGTAGTTTGGTTTACTAAACATAGACAGATGGTATAGGTTTATAAGTTTGAATGGCCATAAAGCATTAGATTGATGATTTAATACCTCGTAGAGTGGTCAGCGGATACACACCAGGGATCAATATTAGGTAAAGAATACACAGGTCTAATCAACTCCTGTTCAATTCTTAGCGGTATAAGCTTGAGATAGTAACATGTCTCAGTGATTGGGGAGAACAAAATAATGAGGTACACACAGATTGTTTGTACAAAGAAAACAGTTTGCCTATGGCTAAAACAAAATCCAATGAGTAAAGAGGGGGTAAAAATCTATTCTATTTAACAAAAGATATAGGTAAAATTCAGTTTTTACAGTGTTTATTTCTGATACAAATAGGTATTTCCTTTGTTTAAACTAACTTAAATTCCTAGTTCAGAAAAACAAAAACTTGAAAAAGCTATAATTAGCAAATATTTAAAAAGTACTATTAATACTTGGGAGGCTACAAGCTGGTGTATTTTTATTAGGGGATAGTTTGGCACCATGTATTAAAAGCCTTAAAAATGTTCAAACTCGGCAGGGCGCGGTGGCTCAAGCCTGTAATCCCAGCACTTTGGGAGGCCGAGGCGGGTGGATCACGAGGTCAAGAGATCGAGACCATCCTGGTCAACATGGTGAAACCCCGTCTCTACTAAAAATACAAAAAATTAGCTGGGCATGGTGGCGCGTGCCTGTAATCCCAGCTACTCAGGAGGCTGAGGCAGGAGAATTGCCTGAACCCAGGAGACGGAGGTTACGGTGAGCCGAGATCGCGCCATTGCACTCCAGCCTGGGTAACAAGAGCGAAACTCCGTCTCAAAAAAAAAAAGAAAAAAAGAAAAAAAAAAAAACAAAAAAAAAGGTTCAAACTCTTTAATATATAGTGATTCCATGTCTGTATTTTTTCCCTAGGATTCCCACAAGATTAATGTATAAACATTCATCATCATATGGTTTATAATAGGAAAAAATTTTGAAACTACCTAAATGTTCAATAAAGGAATTAAAGAATATGTGCTTCAACCATTGTAAAGAATACTATGCAATTGAAAAGTATGTTAAAAGAACACACATTTAGAAAAATACATTAAGAGAATATATTAAGAAAAAATGGTCACAAAACATTTATGATCAAAGCTTTAAGGAAAATACACATACCTAAACAAAACGGAAAGGCTGCCTGCCAAAACAGTAATAATTCGGCATATTAGTAGTTCTTTCTGAATGGTGGGATTCTAGAAATTTTAAAAAATACTTTCTAAATTTCCTATAACTTCTGTAATTAGAAAACAACAGCCAATACCCCTAACCAAACAAGATATGATATTTAAGTTTCATTCATGTTGGTATGATTTTTCTCTCTTAAAATAAACTTTGAATACACGAGAATCTTCTATTTTCCTGAGATAGCATTCCCCCCAAATACTGACAATGTGGCAGTGCCCTAGTCTTCCCTGCAAGCATTTAGAAAAACCACAGTATCCTCCAAAAAAATTATTTTACATATCGTTTTATATTTATTTAACACCATAACAAGGCTTATAAGATATCCTTCTTTCTAAAAACTTCAACTAAAAATGTTTCTTACTCATCTGTAGAATTTAAATATTCTGTTGATATATTCTCATAGACATACAAATCCAAGTACACAAGTGAACATATCTTGAAACTAAGACATATTATTATAAAAGACACATCTTACACCAGGTAATACCTCAGAAAAGACTTTACTTGGACCTATGTATGGGTAAAAATAAGTTGATAGGCTGGGCGCGGTGGCTCACGCCTGTAATCCCAGCACTTTGGGAGGCCGAGGCGGGTGGATCACGAGGTCAAGAGATCGAGACCATCCTGGTCAACATGGTGAAACCCCATCTCTACTAAAAATACAAAAAATTAGCTGGGCATGGTGGTGCGTGCCTGTAATCCCAGCTACTCAGGAGGCTGAGGCAGGAGAATTGCCTGAACACAGGAGGTGGAGGTTGCGGTGAGCCGAGATCACGCCATTGCACTCCAGCCTGGGTAACAAGAGCGAAACTCCGTCTCAAAAAAAAAAAAGTTGATAGAAGGGCATGTACAAGAAGACAGGATAAAAAGAGTCTTGGCTGGGCATGGTGGCTCACGCCTGTAATTCCAGAACTTTGGGAGGACGAGGTGGGTGGATCATTTAAGGGCATAAGTTCAAGACCAGACTGGCCAATATGGTGAAACCTTGCCACTACTAAAAATATAAAAATTAGCTGGGCACGGTGGTGGGTGCCTGTAGACCCAGCTATTCAGGAGGCTGAGGTAGGAGAATCACTTGAACCTGGGAGGCAGAGATCATGCCACTGCACTCCAGCCTGGGCATGACGGAGTTGGACTCTGTCTCAAATTTAAAAAAGTCTTTATTTCTAGAGTTTGTTTTTTAAAAAGCTTTATGCCAAAAAGATACAGTTAAGGGACTTAATTTGTTAAAATCAAGCCAATAGATTTTTAAAAAGAGATATATAGCTGGAGATCTAGTTCTGTTATCATAGCAAATTAATGGTTTACAAATACCTGTAGACATACCTGGCAGAGCAGTTATGAAATCTCTCTGCAACATAGGTTTAAGATACGAGTTTATGTGCCCATGTTGGTAATGACACATTTGGGATATAAGATGTTCCACAAATTCCACTTGATCTGACTCTGACCACTGCTCAAAGTATTTGACACACAGTTCCTTTTCCTTTTCATAGCTTGCCGAGAGTTTCCGTTGCTTGGGCACAATCATACTGGAAGTGCCATTGGCAAGTTTTGTCTGTAGAAGGGGGTTAAAAGAAATATAAAATGATTAGTATTGAAAATGAGGGAAATATATCTGATTTTCTGGTATGGCATGCTATGTTATGTCTACACGATTGAGCCCACTCTGTTATACTACTAGCAATTACATGGAAAACCACAGAAATAACATACAAAGTTGACAAATCAGCTATAACACCAGAAGACTAAGCATCCATTTCCAAAAGTTTGCAGAAGACATTCTTATTGTTTGAAGATACACAGATAAAACCCAAAAGCTGAAAGCATGTTATTACTAGCAAGCCAAAAATCTAATTTGTTTTTTATTGTATACAACAGTTGTTGAACATTTATACAATTACTTGCTCACAACTCTTTTTTTGAGACAAGGTCTCATTCTGTCAACCAGGCTGGAGTAAAGTGGTGAGATCATAGCTCAATGCAGCCTCCAGCTCCTGGACTCAAGTGATCCTCCCACCTCAGCCTCTAGAGTAGCTAGGACTATATGGGTGCACACTACGAAGTCCAGCTAATTTTTAACATTTTTTTTTTTTTGGTAGAGGTGGAGTCTGCCTTTGTTGCCCAGGCTGGTCTCAATCTGGCTTCAAGCAATTTTCCTGGCCTTTCAAAGTGCTGGGATTACAGACGTGAGCCACTGTGCCCAGTCAGTACAATATATATATATATATATATATATTTTTTTTTTTTTTTTT